AACCTCAAGGTCCTTAGCAATCTTCCCCCTCTGGATTGTACGGAAACACTCAAGCCTTTTGCATTACTGCAGCCCTACAGACCAACAGAAAATATCTAATATACAATTACAGCATCCCCGACCAGATTTAAAATCAATATCCTCCCATAATAACGCTGGGGAAACTGAAAGCATGATGGTGCATATGGGCAGGAAGGAAGAGCCTGTTTGTCACTGCAAGCATCAAATTCTCATCTATCAAGGGCTTGTTAAAGATGCAGCATCTTAAAAGGGGAAAAAAAAAAAAAAAAAAAAAAAAAAAAAAAAAAAAAAAAAAAAAAAAAAAAAAAAAAAAAAAAAAAAAAAAAAAAAAAAAAGAGACATCTCACAAACAAGCACCATGTTTGAGCGAGAATAGGTCGTATCTGCCTGTGCGTCCACACACACAGGCAAAGCTGCTGCAATCTGCCCAAAATGTGTGGGTTAAGGAAGGTTACAAACCCCCCCCCCCGGTCCTATTTATAACAACAACGACATTATTCCTGTTCCAGGGGACATTTTCAGCCGAGCAACTGTCCCTCGCACTCAGGATCACTCCCCATCACTCGGGATTCAGCTGAGCAGCCCCACGTTCCTGCATTTAGCAAGAGATCCAGGGCACAGGTCTGTGGCTGCCACAGCTGAGTGCAGAGAAGCAGCCAGTCCCTGTGCCCAGGGCAGCCCTGCCAGCCCTCCTCTATATCCCAGGAGCATTCCAGGAGCTCTGCAAAGTTCCAAGTGGCATTTCAAGCTTTTAAAGAGCACAGGCTGCCTCCAGTCTCCAATCCCGTGACCCTGTCACCCAGCCCCTGGACAAAACTGGCACTCAAGGGACGACTGCAGAGGCTTGAGACCATCCAGAAACACAACAAAACAGTGGCAACTGGAAAGCAGATGGCAAAGGCCAGAGTCAGCCAGTGACGGCACTGAAGCTCTCTCAGCACTTCACATCCCAGGTGCTGAGTCAGCCCTTCCATTACATTTGAATTTTATCAGTCCTCCTGCCTCAGTTTCCCCTTTACACGACTCCTGCAAAGCCACAGACAGTCTCAGACTCTTCAGAGCTCCAAAGTACCTGGCCACAGAGCACAGAGAGAGGCACCAGCTCCCTCCCCACGGAACGCTTCATTCTTCATGTTGATTTTCCTGGAAACGCTAAGTCTGACGCTGCAAACCCTGAGCGCTGGAGGCCAAGTTCACAGATCCTCCCCAGAAGTGCTCTCCTCCAGGATTTGTGGCTTTTGGAACAACAAGAAGTCCCGTTGCTCTGCTCGCCCCTCCCAGACCCGGCCAGGAGGCAGCAAAGCCCAACCAGGGCTTTGAGGCAGGAAGAGACTCCATGGAAAAGAACTGGTGACAGAAGCACCAGGTTCCATGTGACAGCAGTTGGAATGTGAGCAGTGAAGAT